TTCCGCAGTATTTTGGTTTGGTTGGATCGGCAACACGGGACCTCTCTATCGGTCCTCGTTTTACTATCTCACAATATTATATGATGTGTACCTTCTTTGGGCTTACAAGGATGTCGCAAAGTTTTTAGAAAAGATCGTCAAACACCAATTAATTATTCTAGAATTGATTTCCATTTATGGTATAGTCACAGACTGATATAGATGAAGTTACACACGCAAAATTAATTTTTTAAAATTCGTATATATATATTATATATATATAGTAAAAATAAATATTAATATTAATAATAATAACAACAATTAAATAATAATATGCGACAAAATATCCTCAAAAGAGCTGATAAAGCTGCTAACACAGTTATTAGATTAATTGGACCTATATTTATTGTCTTGGCTGTTTTGTTAATAGGACTTGCAGTTCTAGTTTACTTTACCGTGATCTTTCCATATTTTTATAAATGGGAAGAGGATTACCTATCATCAAAAATACTTTATTGTTTAGGTTTAGCGTTTAGCGTTTACATGGTGATATGTATAGCTTTTCATTATTGTATGGCTGTTAGAACGAAACCTGGTGGTGTCTCGAATGCCAGCATCGAAACAATGGTAAATATATAAAAAAAAATTTTTAAGAAATAACATCTATTTATATATAAGTAATTGTGTTATATTTATTTGTCTAGGAAGGAGATGATCCAATATTACAAGGGGTATTTCTTGAATTAGAGGAATACCAAGAATTTCCAAAAACTTGTAAAAAATGTAATCTTTAAATTTTCTAATAAAGTCAAAATATAATCATTATTCTATTTTTATTAATAATATTTTTTATTGTCATTTGTTAAGGCCATCTTCCTAAACCAGAGAGAGCGCATCACTGTTCAGTCTGTAAAAAATGCGTTTTAAGATTTGACCATCATTGTCCCTGGATAGCAAATTGTGTTGGATTCTTTAATCATAGATACTTTCTTTTATTTATGACTTATTTGGTGATTGGATGTTTTTATTTTGTTATCGTTGGTTGGAAACCATTCTTACAAAGTTTAGATATTGACAATGAGGTAATATCATCATTTGGAAGATAATGAGTGATGGTTACGATGGTAGTTATGATGTTTTATGATTAAATTACTAATTTTAAAGTTTTAAATAGTGGGAATGGTGGACACCTCGTCCTTACATGGCTTTGACTTACTTATTAGCAACTGGAATCGGGTTGGCAGTAGGTAATAATTGCATTCGGATGCTGATTTACGAGGAAGAAGATTATTTGGATTTTGAATTTTGAATTTTTTTTATTAATTACATTTACATTTTTTTAATTTTATAGGAGGCATGTGTTCATGGCATTATTATTTAGTAAGTGGTCAATTGATCAATTGATTAATTATGATCTATACATTTATACATGTTTACGTAAACAATAATTATTAATGTTATTTGATATATTGAAGATTTTAACTGCACAGACAACAGTAGAATTTTATGACAATCAATATGCAAAACGTACTGCAAGATCAAAAGGAGAAGTAAATATCATTATCTTTATCATTATAATAATATTCATTCATTAATTGAAAGAATCAAAAGGAGAAAATTTATTTATGTTTATATTTATTATTTTAGATTCATACAAATCCTTATGATCTTGGAGCTATAACAAATTTATGTCAATTCTTTAATGTTGGGAAAGATTAGTAAGTGATGGATTATTATAATTATAAATAATTTTATGTATACGTGTATATATTATATTATTATGCCAATTAATTTTATTATATTCACTAATTTAATTACTTTTGATTTTTTTTATATACCACTTGTTCATCAAAAAGTCCAATATATACAATATTCATTCCAATTCCGATACCTCCACCTGGTAATGGTAAAACATGGAAAAAATCCGTGACACATTATACAACTTTGAATGGTGATATTTATGAAAATAATTAAAAAAAATTTTTTTTTCATATTATGTAAATAATAACAATATAATAATAATACTAATTAATATTAAAATAGATTATTTATTTGTTTTCATTCTCATTAATTCATTTTTTCATCCTTCATATTAATGTATACACACCTTTAAATTTTAACGATCTTCAAATCATGTGGCTATTAACATTCCCAAAATTTATAATAAAAATAGTATAGAAAATTATTGGCGGAACTTTTAAAATATTTTAACACATTATACCCCGATTATAGTAATAGACAATGACATAACACGGTTATTACAACGTTACGGAGGAATCCATTTCATTCAATTCCAAAAGAAGAACACCCTTGGTACATCAATAAAGCAATTGATCCAAAAAATCGATGAATAGAACTGGCAAAAATAATACAAAAAGTGAATATTCATACAATAAGAATTATTATTAATAGTATGTATTATTAACAGTATGTATTATTAATAGTATGTATTATTACCTATAACCCATTAGTAATAACAACTAGAATATTTTGATGGTCGCGTAATAATAATCCATAGAAGTTTAATACAATGGTTTATATATAATAGTTACCATTGGTAATGTATATATAATGTCAACTGGGTATTTTGATATTGATGTTAATTTTTTTTTTCTTTGATGATCGCGTAACAATAATTAGTTGTCTAATAATAGATCCGTTTTTTTGAAGGAAACAAATATTAGTATTAGTAATATGTATTAATAAAATTCTTTGATGAATGAATGAATATAAATCAACAGTTCTAGTTGTATTACTCAAGTATTCTTATATCTTTTCGGTTCGCGAAACATCGAATTTTTAAAAAGTTCCACTTGGCAAATTCTAATAATAAGCAACATATAATTCGAAGTTTTAAAATTGACCGGCGGGTTACGAGAATTGAAAAATCGGCCTGACCTTTCGATTTTTTTAGAATATATTATGGGTTAATAATGATGATAACAACAATAATAACAGCAACAATAACAATGATACATTAAATAACGAAAATACTCCAAGACTTTAAAATAATCTAATTGTTGAGTAATAAAGAATAGCTGCTGTTTTCAAAGATAATTGATCCAAAAAAGAAAACGAGTTTTGGAAAAAAATTTTCAATATAATAATATTAAAAGAAAAACGCGTAAATTTCGTATATTTAAGATATTTAAGCAAAATTTGGTGAACACTCATCATCATTTTTATTGACATATTTAATGATTCTATAGCGTTTTAAAGGAATATTTAAGCTCAAAACATTACTGATGTTCTTGTCAGTTGATTTTAATAATCTGATGCTTGTCAATTAATTAGTTTACGAATTTACTGTACGTAGAAAGCTTCGGCGAATCTGCAAGCACACTTGATGGTACAGGCTAACTGTAAATGAATAAAGATGGCTATTTTACAAAGCTAAAGACCTCTATAAAAATTTACTGATAACCGACTTATTTCAGTCATTTATTTACAAAACAACTTAAACAGCTTGTTTAACACACGCACACACAAGAAGAAGGGACCTACATGGAAAAGAAGATCAAATCAAAAGATCAAGGGTTTATTTTCTAACTCTGCCAAATTTCTCATCTTTTACTCATCAGGACATTATATGGCTTTTTTCAAGATCGGTCCCCTAAATTTCATGGTCTTGACTTATCATTACTTGGGAGATGCAATCTATTTATTAATCCATTGTAAAAAGGAATGCATTCAAATAATAATAACACATAATCGTCATGAATAGAGCACACACAACAAAAAAGATAAGTAAAAGAAAAATATATGATTTTTTAATTTATAAAACTTGCAAAAAAAAAAGATTTACGTATGAAGTTAATTGTAACCAAATTTAGCAAATTATCATGAAATTGTAATGTGTGTTGCTAAAATAAAGTATTAATGAACGAAAATGCTATCTTGTGATTGTTAAAAAATTAAATTCATCAATTCAAAATATGTTTATAAAACTTAAAGGGAAGTTTGATATACATATATATAAGGATGGTTTTTTTTAGTCAAGATTGGCTAAACTTCTTATAGTAAAAACTGAGTATTTCTAAATAGGATCACACAATATTTTGCTCCGGATTAGTACAAAAAATTAGAACTCCATGATGTAGTGATACATAACCCGGGTTGATGCCAAAACATTATGCTCCATTTAACAACCCTATTTACAAGCTAACTATTAATTATTTATGAACTGTTTTTATTTAATTAGAATTAAAAACCTATTCCGCCTGAGCTTTTAAGCAAAATATTCATAACGAGGATAACTATGCGACGTTATACTCGTGAATAAACAATGGCACGCCTAATTTTATGGAATTATTCACATGGATTCTTAACTAGAAACGTGTCGAAAGAGAACAGATCATTGATGTTGATTTGTTCTTCGACGAAATACCAGATCACATAAAAACGTTTCATTGTAAACAATGAACAAATTATATAATTTTTTTTTCTAAAAGTTTGCACAATTTTAAAAGTATAGAAGTCATTTTCTGTCTTACCTTAGTTGATAGAATAGGTCTTTCTTTAGTTTTAATGTAATGATGAGATTTTCTCAAAAAAATTATTTGTTGTAGAATTCTATTCTTTTTTAGTACATGTATTTTACTATTTTCGCAAGGAATTTGCCATTATATCATTACTAAATTTAAGATCTTATTATTATTATTATAATTTATAATTTTTTTCGAAAGTTTCGAATAATAATTCACAATAATTTTTATGAGGTTATTCCTCTTGACATAAAGTTTACTCGATCAATCCGGTAACCAAATAAGTGCCAAAACAATTTCCGAAACACAATAAAATTTCTTTATATTTATGAAAGTTTAGTGGTTGCTAGATACAACTTCCATAAATCTGATTTACAGACAGAATCAGTAATCAATCATTAATGGAAGAATAATTTTTTAATATTCCAATTCTTTGATCCTTTTATATGAATAATCAATCTAATTTTTCTTCAATTGGGATGAAATTACTTGTTATTTGAACTCTAGATTATGTAAAAATGAAAATGCCATATAAATATTTTGATGCCTTTAAAAATTTTTAATAACAATATTAAATTATTATATATCTTTACATTGTTATATCTCAGCATGTATCCAACCAATTGAGATGAAATAACTTTGAGTTGGCACTTATTTGAACTCTAGGTTATGTGAAAATGAAAACGCCATATAAGTATTTTGATAGATTTTTCAAAATTACATAATTTTGAAAGACTTCACCTACTATATATTTTTGAATTGAACAAACTCATATGCAAAGAAAGCCTGAATTCTAATATGCACTGTATCCAACTTATATATAGTTAACATTATTAATATTGATATTGATTTTAAAATCATAATTTGTTGACACTTTTAAAAATTCTCTCTTTTTTGCATGATTTTCCAATTATAATAATAATAAATTCTTTCTTTATTTAATATACCTCAAATATTATTAATAACTATAAAGATTTTCTCTGGACGCAATATTAATCTACTCAGCGATAGATATTCTTTTATTCAAAAAGTAAGAATTGAAAATATTAAATGTTAATATTAATAAAATTCTGCTTCGCCTATTAATGAGATAAAATAGTTGAAATCATTACACTTACTGAAATATGTATACAAAGTTATAGTTTTACAGCAATTTTTTACAGCAAAATGTTGCATGATTGAAATAGAAATTGGGAGACATAAAAAAATAGTTTTTTTGCTTTTTTCTAACGCGAGACCCTTATGAGGGGATGAGAAACTATTTTTGAGCTTTTTCTATAAAACTGGTGTATTTAAAATTTCTAATAAGATCAATAATAATTGTACTGTAAACGGGGTGTTTGACGACCTTATCTAAAACAAAATAGATTAGTTTAGATCGTTCAACAATTATTACCGTAAAGTCTTGAAGATAGCACATAGTAACAAATAACAGTTTTCTATAAAATCGTGACGATTAAATAGTGAATTGTACATACTAAAAAAGGAAATATCACAGGATGCTATCTTTCGAGATTTTACGGTAAAGAACTTACATAGTAATGGTAATAGTAATAGTAAAATTTTACAATCAAATAACTTCTAATTCCCATTTAATTGAGACATAACTGCTTTATCATATGTATCTACTTTAAAGCAGGTTGTTAATAAACCCGAAATAATCTGACCGGTAAAAAATTTTATTAATTATTAGATAATTATAATTAATAATTTTTTTGCACTGTATAATCATGCGCATGAAGGCCACATATTATTTTATTTATATAATCCCATAATCTTCTCTCAAAAAAATTTTCTTATAAAAACCTCTTGAAAACTTTTTACACGAATAATCTTGATATTTCTTATAAAATCTCGAAAACTTTCCACGCAAATAATATAGAATTTAAAAAAGATTTTTTAAAATGCCAACAAAAAACCAAAGAATCTTCTCTTGAAAACTTTGATTATAAAATTATAAATTTGTAAAAATCGTAAGTGTTATCAAAACACGATTGTTTTTTACAAGCTATTAGTTAATTGTTATGAACTATTTTTTATTTAATAGAGCTAAAAGACAGGCTCTTTCACCTGAGCTTTTAAGCAAAATATTCAAGTATTACTATGCGACGTTATTCTTGTAATAAACAATGGAACAATATCAGCACTCCCAATTTTATGGAATTGTTTATTGGAGGAGGTCGTGGATTCTTAACTAGAAACGTGTCGAAAGATACAGTCAACCCTCTCTAAGTGCACCCCTCTTGGGAACATATCACTATTTCTCATAAACATGTATGTGAAATTGAAATATTATGGAGTGGGGTGAAATTCTGATTGGCTAATTTGAATTTCACATATGTGAATTGTGAATTCACATAATTTCATTTTCACGTACAACATTAACAAAAGCTTTGTTTTAATAAGATTACGGAATTAGAAGTTGGCCAAATAGTTATAGAGTATGATGGAATGTCAACGATGATGTTAGTGATGTAGCAACAACCTTTTTTACAACAGCTGGTGATGATAATACTTTAAACAATAATGACGCTCAAAATGAAATTGAAACAGATTCAGGTTTAACTATATTGGTATCATCATCATATCATTCTCTCATGTCTGATGGTATACCATCAACAACAGCAACAGCAACAGCAACAGCAAATAACGACACTCACAATAAATATAAACTTCGGGCTAGGAAATCCGTAAACTATAACATTGGGTTACCACCAAGGAAACGCCACTGTAAATTTTCACCTGTAAGTATAAACTGAAACATTAATAGTAGATATAACATTTTATTTAATCTTTTTACTTATATTTATAGGAATCACCACCACCATCACCATCATCACAGTCACCGTTACCACAGTCACCACTTGAGGAGGTATATATATAGTATAAAAATACAATTATTTTAAGATAAAATGTTAATTTTTTTTTTGTTTTTTATATACAGGAAGTGGAATGCAGGGAATGTCCAATACATTGTCAGTTGTAGTACCGTAAAGTCCGGAAAGATAGCACCCCTACTTTAAAACAATTGAGCGTCAATATAAAAAAATTGTTACACATATGTAAAAAGGGGATGCTATCTTTCCAGACTTACGGTATTAAAATAAAATTATCAAATAAAAAGAGGAAAAATGTGAAATAAAAAGAACACGAAAATGAAAAAGCAAAAAAAAATTTTTAATTCAACTTAGAATTTTTAATATTAATACAATTATATAACTGGTTACATCCTTAACTATTATAATGTTTATTTTTAAAAAACGTATCAACATTTGCAATTTCAAAAAATTAAACATTTATTACTTATAGGAATATAGATTACATGTACTCGATTTGTTACAGTTAAAGTTAGATTCATTTGTCTTATAACAAACTTCTTGCAATTGAAAGCATTCATAAAACATAACAGTCTTAGAAACAATAACTTGCGGTATAGCCAATCAGAATTTGATGGTGCAGGTTAAGAATCTACACTTGGGTGTAGGTTAATAATTAAATTGGTGATGACTAAATTTTGAGCCCTGAAATTCTTGTAGTCCAATGTTCACTTTGTCTGGTTTTGTTGTAGCATACCCCATATAATGATTTAAATAAAAAATTTATTTATTATCTATTTACATAACATGAGCCAAGAGAAATATTTTATAAAAATTATTACTGGTTGATGATAATAGCCAATCAGATTTTGAGGGTGCAGGTTAAGAATCTACACCTGACATAATAATAATCACATTACTAAATTTTGGTCCCTGAAATTCTTGGTAATACCAATGTTCGCTTTGTCTGGTTTTGTCAAACTTGGTTATAAAAAATCTAATAGAGGAAAGAATATTAAAGTGGAATTTAGAGGGGAAATTACAGCTATTACTACTGATAATGGTAGTAATATGGTTTTGGGATCTAGATTATTAAAAAATTCATTAAATATTGAGAGAATTTCTTGTGCAGCTCATACACTACAACTCTGTGTTAGAAAAGCAATTAACTGTGACAATAAGATTAAAGCATTGGTTTTAAGGGCAAGAAAACTTGTCTTATTTTTCAACTCTCCAAAACAGTTGGAGACACTGTTCAATGTGCAAGAAAGATTAAGAGAAGATTATCCAAAAAATCTAAAACCAATACATGATGTAGTCACACATTGGAATAGTACCTATAATTCATGGGTGAGGTTATTGAATCTCAAAAAAGCAATCATTATCATATGATACTGGATGGTGATCCCAAAACTGGAAAAAGTGGGAGAAAATTACAAAAATTGTTATTAACAGAAAGTGAATGGGAATTAATTAAAGAACTTACTGAAACACTTAAACAATTTGACTTAGTAACCACAACACTCAGTGGTAGAGATTTCATAACATCATCTTTAGTTGTACCAATGATATTCTTCCTAAAGAAAAAATTCTTAGAATTAGTGACATATTATATAATCGATGAAAATTATGACAACGATGAATTTGAAAATGAAAATATTGAACCAATAGATAGCAGTGAACTTTTAGAAGAAAGTGGTGTTGAAGAAGCTACACTACTAGAAATGGAAGAAGATGAAATAGAGTTATTAGAAGAAGATAATGGGGAAAGAAGAAGAAAAAAAATTAATATATCAGTACCTGTTGAAACAAGAGGATTATTTGAAAAGGTTATTTTAACTATGTATAATTCATTAAATAATTATTGGTCAACTCCTTCATTCCTAGCTGCTTTTGCATCAACTTTAGACCCATGTTTTAAAGCACTAAATTTTTTTGGTGATGGAGAATGTGAGGAAATCAAAAATTTGTTAAAAGATGAGTATAATCTATTAATGCAACAACAACAAGAGGAAGAAGAACAACAAACTAGCAACTCCATTCAATCAAGAAGTGTAAGATTACCACTAAGAACTAGTATTGGTGGACAAAGTAACATTTTTGATGATTTATTTGATAATCTGCAAGAGCCAGAACAAGGTGAATTTGAGAAATATTTTAACTTACCAGTGGCATCAAGATCTGTTGATCCTTTTCTATGGTGGAAAGAAAAAATGAATTGTCTATAATGTCAAAATTGGCAAGAAAATATCTTTGTATGAGTGCAACATCAGTTCCTTCAGAATGTTTGTTTTCTGATGTTGGAAATCATATAACACCCCATAGAAATAGACTCTCGCCTGATTTTGTCTCTAAACATATATTCTTAAAACGAAATTCACAAGAAATCAATATATTATCATCTGTTTAATATTTTTTTTGATATCAAAAATTTTCAATATTAATATGTATTTGTATTTCTTATTTTATTTTAATTGTCATAAAATCATATTATATTAATAAAATAAATAACCAATATTGACAAACAGACCTGTGTAAATCTTCTCTCTTAAACCATCAGGCATCTTTTCTTTTAATTCCTTACACATTATTTCAGAATTGGTTGGAGATTACGATTATATATTAATATTATTATTAAATTTTTATTGTCTTTGTTACACAATATGGTATGATATTCATGATATTCGGATAATATTCATGATATTTGAATATCATGTCGATCGTTTTATGATATTCAAGTATCATGAATACAAGCTAGACCTACTTATAGATTATTTCAGAGGAAGGCATTCCATAGTTAACTCTGTAGGAGATCGAGTAAAACTTTACGGTTAAAAGTTAAAACTGGCCGCAGTATAAAAAAATGGTATGATCATTTGTCATATAAAGTAATTAATAAATTTCATTTTGTCAAAGGATTAGAATAAAAATCGGGCCATTTTATTATCTCAAATTGCAAATTAACTACTAAATCACACGAATAAAAAATTACATTATTTTCGAAATGGGGATCTCACATCATGTGTATGATCAGAATAAAGAGATACTAGTCAAACATGGATAACACAAAAAAAGTAGCTTCATTTAATATTTATGCAAACATTGACATTAAACCAGATGGTTAATGATTTTCATAATCATCACTAAAAGCTGATATGTACTGTTGTATAATAGGTTTCTCATCAATCTTAGCTGATTTTTCAAGCATCTTTAATTGCCACCTCATTTTCATACGAAATAATTCATCTTCTGTCATATCCGGAATCATATCCAACATTCTCTCATCACAAAATATAACAGCTTCTCTGAACTTCGCCTTTTTTGATAATGGACCTTCAATATTTATAAATTTTTCTGAACTCTCTCTCTTATTCATTCCCATAATGCTATCAAATTTGCTTCCCTGTTCTAAAACAAAATGTTTGATTATACTTAATGCTATGCCATGGTCATCAATTACTGCAGTTACAATGAAATATTGCTCAACTGGACTTTCAACTTTGGTTATGAAAAAGATAGTCCACTTTTCGTTGCAATCTGTCAATACGACCAATACATCTAACGCAACATCTGCATTTGCGATAAGTAATTCTCCTTTAGCTTGATGTTCTAATTTTGATCCTTGGAGTGATTTCTTTGTTTTTACATAGACGCATCCTGTTAGACTTGGACCAATGCAAATATCAGTTCCACCCCGTAATATAGTACAAGCTTTATTTAATGTTACTTCTTTTTTTGTAGAATTATGGACATCTTCAACGGAATAGTATTCTCCTAAATTTAATACATTTTTAAACCAGTTTTTGACATCCTGCATTTGTTTGTCTTCATCTTTGCCCATATCCCAATTGAATCCATCACACTCTATAGCTGAAAAGTCTAGAAAATCTCTGACATTAAGCTTTATATAGAAAAAAAAAATGAAATGAGAGGGAACTCATATTAGGAAATCACTGCTTTAATAGGCATTATTGTACATACTCGCATGTTTTCAAAACCCATAGTTTTCTCAATTTTTTTCATCTTGGTACCACTCAGATTTGATACACTTATCACTTCAAATTGTTTTTCTTTCATTGCTTTATTCACTGCATTCTCTACAATCTCCTGCAAACTCCTATGATCTATAAAAAAGAGAAATATAAGATTAAGTAAAGCACTATTAATTGATACTCTGGCATCAGAATAGAACCTTACCTTGTGTTTGATATGTTTGATCTGCAATATTAATAAGAAATATAAGTGAAATCAAGAGACAATATTGCAGTTATAGTTGTCAGATGTAAAATTGTTATGAAAACAAGTAAATTTTGCGATACTAAACAGTTCCTCAAATCTAAGTATTCCTACCGCGATAATTTTTTACACTTCTAAGTTTTTATTGTGATAAATTATTAGATCATTATTTACCTTCTTCGCCTTTAAGAGTTTTAATCAAATATATGATTGATTTTGCTGGTTCTTGAGTTAAGCCATCATGTATAAGTTCTGCTTCGTTTAAATTTAGGAATGCTTGACCAGCAATCTTATTCTTTCTGATTATTTCAATATCCTTCTCATCAAGGTCAAGCTCTTCTTTCTTCTCTTGCAAAAAATTTATAACATCTCCTCGCCTCCACTTTTTGATTTCTTCAATGCTTGGAGTTGTTGAAGTAACCTCTCTGTCTTTCGTAGATGAGACAACACTGGTGTGCTCAATACTCTCCATAGAAACTATTATGTCAATAAAAATGAGTTGCTTCTTTACAAAGAATATTCACAATATGCCACTTTACCTGTAGATGGTTCTCTTGGGGAAGTCGATGTTTTTCCCTCAGATTTTCCTTCCACTTTCGAAGATGTACCAACATTGATAGTTTGAACGCTCTTGGAAGCTATTTTTGTCAAGAGCAATGAGTGGGATATCTAACAAAACTGCTCATATACATTTACTTACCTGTTAGAGGTTTTTTCTTTCTTGTCATTTTAAAGATAGCACAGAATGATATAAATGGGAGGTCACACAATTAAATTTTATTACACAAGTGGATTTTACATTTTATATAAATAGACACAGTAACTGTCATCAAGATCCTTCCAAAACTTTTGAGATTACATAGTCAATATCATCCATACTTAATCTTGATATGTGTGACACTGTAAAAGTTCTGATTTGGTTTATTTTTTCTTTACCAATGGCATCAAAAGTTTATAGATTTTTCGAGCTTTTTCAGTTCTTTTATGAAGAGCTTCCTTTGTAATTGTTGTAGGGATTTGATCACGAAGTTCTCTGTTAAGTATAGCACTAGACACACTTCCTGAGGCTGCTTTTCTATATTATATTAATATGTATATCTCATTATTTTTATATAAACTTGAACTTCGTTGTTAGACTAAAATGAAAGTACTCCATTAAAGCTTTCTAATGAATAATTTTTCATATCGAAAGGTCACCTCTACATGAATTCACAGCTATTCAAAAACGGTATTACTTTTTCACTTCAAGCCTCCGATTATTTCTCAATATCACTTTAAAAGACTCGATAGTAAATGAGAAGGTGTAGAATACTTTAAGCTTTCATATGGTCATTACTTTATGGGGGGTATTGGTTAATAAGT